TAGATGATCTACGATGTAACACACTTCTTTTGACAATCAGAATACACATACGATCTAAACATTTATGCTCTTTATATTAATTATTACTTCGTATTAATTATTCATTATTCATACCAAATTACTCCATTCTGGCTTTGATTCTTTTTGCTTGATTCCCATATCAATAGTATTCAATTCCGTATTTAGATTAGTTTAATTTCTGGTTAAAACAATTGGCGCCGTCTGTGGGAAATTCTTGCAAAAAGAGAATCAATTATGGCCGGAAGTTCTAATTCTTTGGTGACAGAGATTCAAGCACAACTAGAAGCTCTCAGGGAAGAAATACGCATGGCCGGAAATTCTAATCACTCGGCGGCGAAGGTTCAATCGCAACTACAAGCTGTCAAGGAAGAAATGCGGCAGCGGATCACCCTCCTCCAACGAGAAAACGACGCTCTACGATCTCAAGTACAATCGGTGGCATCCATAGTATCCAATTCACGACAGGGAAATGATATAATGACCGTGGCAACAAGATTGGACATGGATTCAGTTCCGGCTTCAACCCTAACCATGAGCATCCCAATGCACTTCTTCCCGGATTCATTGTGGACCAGAACGGTGGCGTCGGGTTTGCACACAATCAACCAACAGATGCCAACTTCGACCACCACGTCGGCTCCCATGCATCCTTTCGTCCCTCATTCTGGAGCCGACATGCCTGGAAAATCCGGGCCCTCGACTCGTTCATTTCCTTTCCCAAATCCTAGAAGGAACGTATTCTGTAATCTGTTTGCAGCGCCCCAGAGACGACATGTTCCAAATCATGTCGACATCCCCAGACATGTCGACATCAACAACCAGAGGCGGCAAGAGCCGGAGATCATCGGCATACCATCACCGACCGAACGAGGAGCAGCCCAAACGACAACACCACCCGAAGTAGAGTTCCGCAGAGGCAGAAATACTTGACCGACACTTTGGCCATCCTCATGGAGGAGATGAGGGAGATGCGGGAAAAAATCAACGACATACCTGGAGTCCCGCCACCGCTAGATGTTGCCTCACAAACGTGCTATGCGGACTCGCCTTTCGGACGACGTATCACTGATGTTGAGATTCCGAGGAAGTTCGCCGCCCCCTCGATGAGACTGTTCGATGGGACTTCTGATCCGGTGGAACATGTCGCTCAGTACAAGCAGCAAATGTTAGTCACCTCGGTCAGACCAGATCAGCGAGAAGCTTGCATGTGTAGGGCATTTGGGACGACATTGTCAGGACCAGCATTGACGTGGTTCGTCAACCTACCAAATGAAGGCATCAATTCATTTGCAGAGCTGGTCAACTTATTCAATCGACAGTTTGCAAGTAGTCGAGCCTTGGAGAAGCAAACCAGTGATCTTTATCGGGTGGTCTAGAGGCGAAACGAATCCTTACGGGATTACTTGCATCGCTTCAACAAGGAGAAGGTGTCAATCCCCAGGTGTTACGTGCCGACGTCAATTGAAGCATTCAGACAAGGACTGCTGGAGGATTCAAAGTTATATCGAGAGTTGACGAAATATCCTACTCGATCCTTCGAAGATGTCCAAGCAAAGGCACTAGCTTTCATTCGTCTAGAAGAAGACTTACGAGCCCGTCACGGACAGATTGAGCAGGAAGGGGGGCACGGGAAATCAGAATCCCCCAGGAGGCACGACTACAAGCACGGAAGACCTTATTCGAGACCAGAAGAACGAGTTGTCACTTCTGTGACGAGGTAGATTTGACGACATGATTGAAGTCGTCGGACAGGGGGCATACCGACTACAGTCTGTCAACGGTAAGCAAGTACCAAGGAGCTGGAATGCAGTACACCTAAAACCTTTTCACTTCTAGTTTATTTAATATAGTCAACACTTTCTTCTTTGGATTCCATTACTAACTTGATCATCGGAGGGCCGTTGGCCCCAAGCCAATGGCCAAACTAATCATTGAACAGGTACTGACCGACGATTCCAATCTGATCGGACGTGACGGTAACATAAACAAGCCTGTTGTCACTAAGGATCAATCCCGCAGCTGAACTCCCATCAATTCGTCAACTCTCTACCACACTTTAAGCAAACTGTGTTAAAGCCTTATTTTAATTTTCATCATAAATGTTGCCACCAGTCTCTTCGATGCTTTCAAAGGTATTTGTGTAAATAAAGTAAGGCAGTTCTTGTATTGCGAATGTGGGTAACAGCATGGAAGGTTGTTTTCTTTAAGTAAAGTTTTGTTTAATTAATTCACTATTATGACGATTACTAACTTAAGCATCGGAGGGCCGTTGGCCAAAAGCCAACGGCCAGACTTTGACGATATGTCTGTATGCAGGATTTTGACAGCGCAAGGGACAACCAACATGCGATACACATAGCGACAACCGCTAACACAAACCCCGCAACAAGGGAAGGTGGGGCAAACTTGAGTCCTTCATATATGAAATATGAGGCACGGACCGAGAATCCCTACGAGTTTTGGCCAAAACTACACAAAAACTACACAACACAACACAACACAACACAAAACTACATAAACACACAACAGAAGCATGTGGTCCAAGAGCATGACAACACAAGCTCCAAAACATAAGGAGACAATACAAACGACATTGACATAAATCACAAGTATTCATGTCGACGATATTACTGAAACCATAAACGAAACAATATTTAAAGTTTTTTTTGCAGGGTACGTAGCCAAACTCGTCATTTATACAACGAGGCACAAAATCATAATTGCCAACCGAAGTGTCGACATCAACCTGGACGAAGTTACGACTTGCCAGCATTGCTTAGATACGATCATTAGCACAAATTTGGAGGAAGATGACAGGAGACCAGTTTTCGTTCTTCGTCACCTCACTCAAGGAGACAAATTCGATCTAAAAACTACTTGCAAGGATAGTGACATGTTGATAGAAGCGTCTAGACAAGCATATGACGAGTTAATGGAAGTAGCAGACGAGTGACAGGTTGAGGGGAGCATGTCGTCAGAAAAGTGGCGAGTTGACAAAGGCGTCTTGTTATACAAATGGCAGGTTGACAACATGTCTTATCAGACAAAGGACGAGTTTATATGAGCTGTATTCAAGGATGACGTGCAAGATTTCGACAAGTTGATGCTCGACGGCTTGACGTGTGTGTCATACGCTTCAACTTCTCGAAAGGGGGCAATTGTTGGGCCCAAGAATACACAAGGTTAATGGGCCGCAAGGTGAAATTAAATTAGGAAAGGGTTGGCCCCAAGTTGGGATAAGATTGCAGCTTAATTTGAAATCAACGAAAAAGAAGGGATAGGCATGGAAAGGCTAAAGGCAGTTGGGTGGAGGCAGAAAATTCGGTGCACACTCCTAGGCTTGCGGAAGAGGAAATTCACGCTCCTTTAAATAGAGTAGATGATCTACGATGTAACACACTTCTTTTGACAATCAGAATACACATACGATCTAAACATTTCTGCTCTTTATATTAATTATTACTTCGTATTAATTATTCATTATTCATACCAAATCACTTATTGCTTCATTATTCATACCAAATTCACGCTCCTTTGATTCTTTTTGCTTGATTCCCATATCAATAGTATTCAATTCCGTATTTAGATTAGTTTAATTTCTGGTTAAAACAATATTCCTGTTCTATCGTCGGGCTTGAAAGTCAATACTACGAGTTGGAAATCATGCATTTTGAAACTCTCACGGTCAGACACGATATTGTTCCTTTGTTTTTTCAGTATCCACAATTTAGAATATACAAGTATTGTTTACAGACAATATATTCTTCTTTTAAGTACGTCCAAACTCATTTAGATGGAGGACGGTTTGGACTTTGGAGTATTTATTCCTTCACCTAGAAAGTACAAATATTAAATCAATATATGTTAAATTAAGTTACAAAAAACCCGACCCGCAATGACCCGCCCTGGCCCGACACATTTGGGGTGGGTCCGCCCCGCCTCGTCTTGCAAATGGGGCGGGTCCGCCCCGCCCGCCTATATGGGGCGGGTCCGGGTATTAGAATTGACCTGTGCCGCCCCGACCCGACCCGACCCGACCCGCTCAATATATAAGTATACATACTTTTTCTTAACGTATACTACAAATATACTTCAACATACATATGTGTGTATACGATAAATCATAAATTCTTTAATGTTATAATATATGAATATATATTAGAATGAGATGCACGACGGATTTTATATAGAATTTTAATACATTTATTCAATTATTAATATAACTAATTAGATTAACTATTCAAGTTTGAGTAATTTTTTCTTGATTTTTGAAATTTCTCCTTAATTTTTGAAATTTTTAGCGTATCATGAATTTGATTTAATATATTTATTTTAATTATTATTTAGAGATAAACATTATGTAGATTCAATTGGTAACAACTTCCCACAAATAAAAATACAAGTTTGGACTCGTGTAGGTCACGGGGCTGCCCCATCAAGTCACGGGGCGGGTCCGGGTCTTGCAATACCCGCCCGACCTGACCCATTGCCATGCCTAATTTCAGTTCGCTGGACGAGAGATCAGGTCTCGAGTTCTAAACCCATTAGGCACAAATAGAGGAGAGGAGACAGGTCTTCCTCCAACGATTCTTCCTGCCTTCGCCCTGATCATCAAAAAAACAAAATCATCCCCCAAACTCAAAAAGTAAAAGTTATTTTGTGAAACGTGAAAAAGAGAAATGGAAGTACAAAATAGTGAGGACCACACCGATATAAGTTGCCTTTTTTATTCCTCAATGGCTTCTCATCTCAGCAATATCAATCATATTAATTAATATCTTCACTCCCATCTTCAATTCCTCTCTGTCTAAACACTATCCTGAAATCTCCAATTTGCAGGAAAGAAGAAGAAGAAGAAGAGATGGCGCCGCCGTGTCCTTCTCCGATCGCCGTCGTCTTAGCTGCCGTCTTCGTTCTTGGCCAGCTTTCAGGATTTGCAGACGCTTACGTGAATTATACTGTGGGTGGTACCGTGGGCTGGACCGACAACGGTTCTGTGGATTACCAGAAATGGGCCTCCAATAACACTTTCTCGCTCGGCGATTTCCTAAGTACCTTCTCTTAATTATTACTTAACTTTGTTTACTGTCTTTTATTAGAAGATTATTAGAAGATTAGATTGTTATTAAACGGCCAGGATCATCTCGTCCTGCCTTGTGATCAACGCAACCAAATCCAACAGAGCCTTCAGATCTGTTCTTTTTAGAAAGAAAACAAAACAAATAAAAAGGAATTATTGTGAAGATCTGAAAATAGAAAATTGAAATACCATACCGTCCATATTTTTTTTATTATTAAAAGCTAGAAAATGATTTTTTTTAATCCCATTATCTGATAGATTCATTTCTTTTCATCTAAAACTTTTTATTTGGTACGGAGTATTCGTTTTTTTATATTATTTCATGGACCTATATTTTAGCGCACAAGGTACCAAATGACTTCATTTTTCTTACTTTTATTTACTTGTTTATTTAATTTTCTTAATTTTTCTAAATTTGTGACCAGATCTATTAAATTGGATGTGATCATAAGGCTCACCAAAAGTAGAAACAATGATGGAATATTTGCTTTTACCTCTTTTATGTTCATATTCATATATATGCTATGCATTCTACGGATGTTTTCTTTTGGACTGTTTTCAGTCCCAGACCAGACCAGACTTAAACAGACCAGACCAGATCAGACTAGACTTAAACAGACCAGACCAGACCAGACCAGACCAGACTTAAACAGAACAGACCAGACCAGACTTCCGTAGTTATAAAATACACAGAGACCAGACGTTTACCAGACCAGACCAGTTCAGACCAGACCAGACCAGACCAGACTTAAACAGACCAGACCAGACCAGACCAGACTTAAACAGACCAGACCAGACCAGCAAATTTCAGTCCAAAAGAAAACATCCTACACTTTAATAACTAGTCAAACTCAATTAGGGAAAGGTGGGTACCGTTTTTAGGCAATCAGTGCTTTGCTACACTTACTTTCACTTAGATTTTGTTTCTATAAGTAGCAACTAGCAATCATTCATTAATTAATTAATGATTTAACAGTGAATTAGGATGCGAGAGATTTTATATAAGTACATAAATACGGCTTAAATATGTTATTAATTTCTATAAATGTGGCACTTCTTGTTTTTATCTGTTCCAAAGTTTTTATTTATATTTTTTATCCATGTAATTTACAATGTTTTCTTTTTCAGTTCTTGAAATATTGATCAGTTACGTAGTACATGATTTTACTCCAAAACTTTAGCTTCATTTTTGTTACTTTTTAGAGACTAATACTGGAATTAAAACGAAGTGAATCTAATTGCATTTGAAATCACACGGCAAAACAAGATAGAAAAAATTTGGCGTGGTTGGTAGCTAGAATCGATGGGAGATTAAAAAGAAAAAAAATATAAATTAAAAGGACGAAATACAAAAAGTAAATTAACAGAGACATAAAACCAAGGAACATTATATTTATAAACCTCTAAATACTAAAAAACTGACTATATACATATTATTTCCACTTTGACACCTCGCCTTCACAATTACGCAACTCCACCTGTCATTAAAATAAAATTGTCGAAGACTGTTTGGTATTTTCTTTGGATTTTCGATGACTTTTCAGAAAATATCCAGCGGTGGGGACTGGGGAGCGAATGCAAACGATTAAAAAGAAGATAGACCCCTTTTCTAACCTTATTTTTCGGCTTATTATACTTATCAATCAATTTTTTCACCAAACAAAGATTTTTTTTCAAAAAACTGAATTGTGTAATACGTAGTAATAAGCAAAAATAAAATTCTAGTTAATTTTCTGTCTGAATTGGCTGAAATTACTGTAGAAGATCATTTTAGTTATTTTTTCATATACTTTTTTCTTTATTTTATTGATGTAATATATTTAAAATGTAATTTTTACATAAATCAACAAAATCAGCCAATTCAACCAATTAAACCAAAACTTTATAAGGATATTACCAAACAGGTTCTTAAAATTTGGATGTTTTTACTTGAACCTAAATTTTTGGTCAGAACTGGTTTTGGTGTGATAGACGCTTGATCTATGAGTATTTTGCAACCGCAAAAGTTTAGTTTGGTATGTTAAAGTCTATCTAAATTAGTCTAGCAGAAGTCGGGTCTAATATGATTTAAGACTGAAATAAGTCCAAGTATCACTTTTTATGTCCATAATACTCCTAGGAGTAATATTTTGATCATTGTTTCTAATACTCGTATAGTCGTATTACGTATGATACTACATTACTACTACATGGGTAGTATTTTTATCATCAATTTAACAGTTCTTTTTTTAATTTAATGCTGCAGTTTTCAAAACCGACACCAACCACTCAATAATCCAAACGTACAACGAAACCACATATGAACAATGCGACGGTGAAGATGATGATACCGCAATCCAGTGGTCATTCACAGACCCTTCCACAGCCACTTCAGCACCCCAACTGACTCCCGTGCCTGTGCCACTTACAAAGGTCGGGATGACGTACTTTTTCTCCGATGACTATGACGGAGAACAGTGCAAGAACGGTCTAAAAATGAAATTGAATGTTACATATGGTCAAGGCTTACCGCCTAGCCTGAGATCCCCCGATAAAACGCCGGCTCCAACGAGCCCCCCATCTGGCGATGATGATTCGGATTCAGTGCCGGAGACATTGGTGCCAACTAATTTCAATCACCCCCATAATGTAAGCGAAGATATTGAGAGTCCGCCTAGTTCGGTTTCTTCACCAACTTTTTCTAAAGTCTTTGGGACATGGTCAACTGGGATCCTATTTGTCTTGGTCCTAGCTTGTACGATTTGATCACCATATTCTTCATTTTTTTCCTTTTCCTTCTAAAATCACTATGTATACTTCTATAGTCTATACTTCAAGCACACTATGTATTCTTTTGTTAGATGACTATATCCGAGGCCTTGTACCTTGAGTTTTCATGTTTGATCCAAATGAATAAAAACTTCAATTTCAGCCCCAAAGGAAGAATGTATGAAGATGGGAAAATACATTATCACACATTACATTTCTTGAAAGGAAACAGGCCATGATTTTGAGATGGACGAAAAATGAAGACAGGTAGATAATTTAAAGACATAGGAGTACTATTAATAGCGTGACATTGTGGATAAGCATTCACAAATCACAATGTTATCATAAATAACACAGCTTTGGCTACTATTATATATCACCATAACAAAATAGGCATGGCCTCGGTTCGGGCCGCCCGGCCCGACCCGCTACTGTGAGGGCCCGGCCCGGCGCGGTTTTCCGGGTCCGGGTCCGGTTCGGGCCGGAGGCCCGGGGGGTGGGGCGGTTCCGGGCTCGGTTCATGGGTTTGACGGCCCGGCCCGGCCGGTTCGGGCCCGGGTCCGGGTCAAATCTATTTTTTTTTTAATTTTTTTCATTTTTTTGGGCTGTTGGGCTTGGGCTATCTGTTTAGGCCGATTCGGGGGGGGTTTAGGGGGGTGAGGGTGGGGGGGGTGGAAGAAAGGAAAAAAAAAAATTAAACCGGGTGGCCCGAACCGGCCCGGTCCGGCCCGGAACCGGGACCGCCCTACCCCGGTTCGGGCTCGGGCCTGCTATTACTGAACCGAGGCCCGGCCGGGCCTAGGCCTGAGGCCCGAACCGGCCCGGTTCAGTCCACCACTATAACAAAATAAGGAAACGAAAACGAGGTAGATGAATTCAATGTAATCATCTCAATTTTGCAAGATAAATCAGTAGAACAAACATTACTTTGTTCCATAATTAAGGTAATTCAGTAGCTCCATAAGTATTTCAAATAAAAGATGGCAACAAAACCAAATTACCAAATAGTCTTGCAAAAGTGAGCAAAACAAACATTACCCAAAATCATCACCAATATTCTTTAGATGGTCTTGCAGACGAGCATTACTAGAGAATCATCGTATTTAAAGCAACTTACACATACCCACACTATGGGTCAGAATAGACACTATATACCAATGCCTAGAGAATCTGAACGTTCTGAATCGTCTGCAAGCCCTCTTTAGTACCAGTCTTGATGTCAGATACATCTTCTATTATGCCTTTGCCATCTGTGGCATCATAATAGAAAAAATTCTTAATTGGATCTCCTTTACCTGATATTGCTTTAATCACCTCCTACACAAAGCAAACACTTCTATTACACATTTGGAAATTATCCAAACAAGTTGCAAAAAGTCCAACCAATGTCTGCCTTATAGGTTTGATACCTGTCCAAGGATTCCTCCCATGATGGCACACACAGGAGGAAACTCTCCCGAGGGCCTTAACAACCGTACCAGGAGAGAATCTGGAATTTGAGATTCACTGACCCCCTGAAAACACGAATAAGCCAAACAAACAACATAACTAACATGCATATACTTATATAGTTGGTGATGATTAACAGTGCAAGGTAGTCGGGTTGGCACACCTGGATATCACACACTTCCTTCCTTAATCTTAGAAGATTCTGAAGGTCAAGATCATCAAACCTGTCACCATACTCACGCACTTGAAGACGTTCATACTCCTCTATGACTGTAAGGAGGTAATCAGGTGTCAAGTCATATTGCACTGATTTACAAGCGTGAAAAATACACAGAAAAAATAATACTCTTCTCACTATTTATTTTTGTTAATGGTTGACCACAGCCCTGCTACAGGTTGAGTCTGCTAGCCACTTTAAAATATCAGGAAATGTAGATTTACCAGATTTGGGAAGATTTACAAAAGAGGAAATAGATACAGTACAAAACATCTCCTTAACTAGGACTACATATGTTTATAAAACAGGGCTACATATGTTTTATTCCTTAACTAGGACTACATATGTTTATAACATTCAGTTTAGAAATATTAATAATACATCTTCTTTGTTTGGACAGAGATATCAGATAGTAAGTATTATAGGTAGGAAGAATGTGATTGGAGATCTCAAGATATAGAAGATAGCAATTACTAAAAACAAATCTTGACATAACAGTGGTGACAGCCTGACAGGAGATGTAGAAGCAGTACGGACGAGAGATGCAATGTACAAAATAAGTGTAATTTCTTATCAACTTGCAACGTAAAATTTACTATTATGCTCTCATAGCATGTTAGGTAGTGTCCATCTTTCTTTTGCATATTGGGGAAAGATGGGTACATGAGACATCTAAAATGACCTAAATAGTAGCATAAGATTTGAAGGGCAGGTGACTGGTGGATTTCTCCACTCGTGTAATTGATTCCTGGGTTTGAATACCTAGAAACTCCCTTCTGCTAACTCCCTAAGGTCTGTCACGAAATGGGGGGATTTCGGAGGGAAAGAAAACAAAACATTTCTTCAAAGTGAATAAATTTATTTCTACTATGCATTTTTACCCCAATGTCAAAAACATTTTGTTTGTTCGTTTCTACTATGCATTTTTAACTCCGATGTCGTATGTCAATTCATGTTAGCCAATCCCAAACTCTTTTGGCATCAAGGCTTGCATGTTGTTGTTGTCCAGACTAAGAATGTAAACACATTAACCATTTGTGACTTTCCTTTGGAGTCCTGAGTTAAAACCAAACATAAGAAAATAACTTCCCTTAGCAGTTGTTTTCCCATTCTGTGATCCAAACATAACCCTAATGTGTGGGAGCTTCAGCATTGATCTTTAATGGTTGCATGGGACGTTTATGTGTTTTTAGAATAAAAGCTGTAATATTCACGATTGTTTTAAAAACTCCTTTAGTTTGATATTTTGACAGTAATATGCAGCTAGTTGTAACACCTTACATAATTACACCTGAGTGATTAGTAAAAAGCATGAATAACGCAATGTGCATTACTATCCAAGAAAGTTATACAGGTACAACAAGATAGAGTATCTGCGGTTTTACCTCTCATAGCAAAATACAGCTTTGATGTTCTCTTAGGTAAATCTTTCCATGGGACTTCAATAGCTTCCTGTTCAAATTAAACAATGTCAAGTGACAAAGTGGAATAATCATACTTCCATGGTAGTACACCATGAAAGTGAAGGTATAAATAAAAGTCATTTAGATGGTTATTATAATTAAACCTTCAAACACTGATACCTTAAAGCTTGGATAGTTTATTTGGCAATCTGTCATTTCCTCAAATCGCTTCTGCCAAACAAAAAGAAAGATATTACAAAGGGATTTAGGTGTGATGTACATTAAAGATAACAATGGCAACCTGGTTATATGGAACATATAAAGATGTCAGATCACTTCTAACCTTAGAATAGGTGTAGCACTGCAAGTCAACAAAGATCTCGCCACAAGAATCTCTAACATCAACGGTATAAAATGCAATGCGCTTCGACAACTTCCGACACTTCTCATTTACAGATTTCTATGGTAGAGTTGCAGAAAGAAAATGAATAAATTATTTCCAAATCGATATAATTCTAATCTCAGTGAGTAGTTGAGTACTTGAGTGCACATGTTTTTATACAGCGACAATAGCTACCAATACCTTCGTCTCCAGAGAGCACTGACAGATTACAATTACATCAAACTTATCAAAGAAATCAGCATCAAAACTGGACAACTCACCTAGAACAAAAATTATAAGTATCATCAGAGTTCTAAATTTAGTTGAGACTAGCACTTCCATCACTAACTATGATGATAGCAGACTCTAGTTGGAAATAATGAAAATACATTCAGGTGCACTGCAAAAACACTCAAAAAATGTATACAAAATGTTCAACACTCTTTTAGTGTACTCCTATTTTCACTTCGTACTGATCTATCCAAGCAACTAAAATATTATGTTGTCTTTTGTCATTTTTCTCATTGCAAGAGTCAAATTATATTCTGTATGATTAATGATAATTAGGTATAAGTCATGCATTTAGTCTCTGTAGGCACGTAATTTAAGAGCCCTTAGCATAAGCATCGAATGGGTGAGAAATCAGAATAAATTTGAATGAATGGGCTCATGAACTAGCTTTCAACTGTATAAAACATGGCAAGTGCAACATAAACAACTTCTATACAACATGAACATATGATGAAGGTAATACTGTCATATGCATAGCACTTTTAGCATGGGAACATTGGCATTCAGCAGCATAGAATTATGCGAAATTGAAATATTTTTAATGCATGTACGTTCTATTGATGATCAAATGTTACTCCCTTTGGCCCACAAAACATTGCCAAATTTCCTCTTTTAGCAATCCCAAAAAACATGGCCATTTCCATTTAAAGTAAAAAATATGTGGCTAGAGTTATTTCTCTTTCCTCCACACAAATCTCAATTACACACTATTTACTTTATTATTCTACGTGCAAGTCAAGTTTGGTCAAGTTTTGTGGGACAGAGAAGTATTATAAATGAGTTGTTAACTTGTTACAACTTACAGTGCACAAGTAGAAAAGCAAAAGCATAGTACACTGGAAATCTCAAGGGGGGAGTACTCTATGGAAATCTGAGCTTGGTGTGGTATGCAAAGTTGCAAACTAACATGCAAATGACACTCTTAATGAAGTAGGAGAGTAAATGCATAATAAGCCTATGACAAATGCAATCGATAGAACACTATTTACTGTGACTGTAAGGGTTAGCCATGGGCACTAACCATATTATAAAAAACTACAAGTCTCAGCAAGATCCTTAATGATGAGTCTAACTATATATGTGAGCAACTCAATAGTCTAAGAAAATCAATAGCCTCAGGAATCATAATACATGTCTAACCTTTCTGGACAGAAACATGAACCATGGGGTTGAATTCTTTCAGTGAATGACAACAGAGCTCAGCAACCGATTTCCCACTAAACACATTTTCATCAGGGGGGATGAGGAAATTAGCAGAGAGTAAGTCATTGGTCACCATATGATCATCATTCAGGGTCAAACTACCAACTCCAGCTAAAACGATGTTTTTGCAGAACTGCATACATAATAACATAAATTATATACTTTGACACTGTATTTTCTTTTGAATGAAATAGAACACCTAATGACAATCTAAGACACACCCTTTGAGATTCCAATGAAAACCTTGCAGTTTTACACTTCAGCATATTTCAATCAAATTGGCATAATGAGGGTTAACTAAATCAGAACTTTCTACACCCAAGAGTATATCACTACTATTTCACAATGCAGAAAAAATTATTAGCAAGTTTTTTTTAACATGCCTCAACAACTGTCCCTTTGAGCCCACTGACGAATACATGAGATTTGCTGAGCCTGTTGCAAAAACATTTTAAAAAGTCAAGCCTTTCTTTGGAAATGTAATAGACCCAATTATCAAGAGATTGGCACGGAAAAAACATGAAAACTGTTATAACCAAACAGCATCCACTTAAGTTGTAATTCCTATAAGATCAAGATAATAGTGAGGATGTAATCGGTAAACCAAACCCCTTGCTATGCAATGCTGAACTATGTAGTTAAACATCAAACATCAACAAAGGCCACAGCTTTTACAAAGGCATAGGTAAAGGTACAGACCGTCTTTGAGCATCAACGCCCCAAACCCTAATCTGACGATCATAGATGGCAGTTTCCTGCTCTGTCAACTCCACTGGCTCCATATTCTGAATCAAGACAATCTGAAACCCATTTGTTCGTTTTAGCACGTTTTCCAAAGAGAAGAGGTATGTAGAAATTGACAAACATTAGAATCTGAGTTATGAATCCGATAAGATTATATAAGTAAAGCACAAGAAACTACAAATTTGATAGAGAGACTTGCAAAATTCGAAGTAGTGTTGACCTTTGCTAGTTTTCAATCCTGCAGCTCACTGATCGCAGTTGAGCGGGAGAGCGAAACGTTTATCTGCTTCGATGGTGGCCCGCTCATGGTAAACATCTTCAAATTCCAAATTTATTTAGAGATAATTCTATCCGATTAAAATATGTTTTTTTAATCAAATACGTAGTAATAACTAATTTATTATTCATTAAATTAAAGCAAAGAAACAAGTGAATGAATAGTCTAAGGATGTTTTTAATTAAACTGAAATTTTATGATCTAGTTTGGTACAGTCTGTTTAAGTTTGGCATGATCTGGTATGATTTGTTTAAGTTTGATCTGGTAAGAACTGGTCTGGTAAATGTTCCATCTCTGTGTATTTTCTAATTCCCGAATCTGGTCTGATCATTTTAAGTCTGGTGTGGTCTGATCTGATCTGCGATTAAAATAAGCTAAAGTGAAAACATCATAAGGCTATTATGAGATGAGAATAGAACGATAAAGATCCCGCGAATCCCTCTAGATCACTTACCCCATAATAATGTAATCTAGTCTATCGGTTTTGCTGTTCTTTTTGCTACTCCAAAGGAAAATAAAATAAAATTTACAAAGAAAAGATTTGGCTTAACCCACAACCGGGAAAAGGAGAATTATAGGTTTGACCAACAACCAATCAAAAATGAAACTCAATTAAGTAGCAATTGACCGGATCATTGGTTTGAACAATCACCAAAAAAGGAGATCCATTTAAGCACTAACTTTCTCTCGGTGTGAGGCAATGACTTAGGAGGAGGGCCGAGCAGTTGAAATTTCAGCAGAAGATCCAAAATTACCAAAAAGGATATCCATTTCACCGCCACTGCCATCACGGGTTATCCAGTGTCTGCCATTGGTCGTCTCCGTTGGTCGTCTCCTTCACTGCCATCATTGATGGCTGGTAGAAGATCCGCATTCACAGATGTCCGATCTTCACATTCGCACATGCCATATATTTCGAAAAAACAAAAACTGTCATATTTTTGTCTTATAAATATATATATGCAATATTTATGTCATTCTTTGTTATTAATTTGGTAAGAAAATAAATACAGAAAATTACTGTCCAAATTTTGTTATTTTGATAATAAAAATGAATTGACCAAGCGCATAATGAAAGTATGTGCCATACTAAGAGCATTTCTAATGATTAGAGTAAGAGACTTGATTGCAATTTATGAGAACTTAGTGTTTTCTTAGAGGTGGTTAGTCAAATACTTAATGTGTTTCTTTTCTAATTCAGAATATCTATTTTATTTCAATAACTAGAGTAATTAGTTCAGCCATGCCATAAGATTACACCATATATGATATAGCTGCGAGATTAGCAAATTTGTTTGGTCATAGGAGGTCATTTAACTGTATGTCTCATATTAGATAGCCTTATATTTTAATATCATTAATAAATGCTCGATCCATATTTTAAAGATTACTAAATTAGCTTTAATACATCATTTAAGGAAGAAAATAGTAGGGGTGATAAATAATTTAGAAAAAGTAGAAGAGATAATGTAAAATTATCAAAGAAAAATTAAAAAGTAAAAGAAGTATGACTCTTTTTTAAGTAGAAGAAGTAAGAGTAATTAAGTACTCTCTCTCCCTCCTGCTAAATTGTCCCATTTTTTCTTTTCAAAAAATCTCTTTAAGATTGTCACATACCAAACTTTGTAAAATTTATGTAACTTTAAATCATTTTTTCTTTATTCTTACTTTATCAATTCAATATCAATCACATAAACTCATTTTCCTAATAACAATATCATTTCCTCATGTCCCCATTGTTAGTGATACGGAAGTAGTATTTTTTAGAAAAACTTACCAAATGGAGAAAACCTAGTAATTTTTAAAGTACATACCAAAAAAGAGAGTTTAGCAAACTTTACACATACAAGGAGTTAGTTTCCTCTCTGCAAAAAGTGGAGAATTTTGATCATGTTTTAACCCTATTTAGCACAATTTCTTAACAACTACCACTGCCACCATGATCTGAGCACCTTCTGAGACGGGGCGGCCGGTTAATCTATGTTAGCTTTTCCTCTTTATGCTGGTGACTGTGGAGGATCGGGATCGTCCATAAGAGGGGGGAGGCCCAGGAATTCCGGTCGGACATTACGGGCAGATAGGATCTCATACAACTCCGACTGCATGACAAATCTGCCACACTCGAAGTTGATGAGCCCTTCCATATCCAGGTGCTTCCTGCCGTCTGGAGTCTTGAGCCACGCCTTAGCAATCTTCTCTTGGTTGTCCAAAACGTGCTCTTCCAGGAGGCGGGGAAGATCCTTTTCAACATAGGCTGACACCGCCAACTTCCCGGCCTCAATGGAACTCTCCTTTAGAGCATTGTGCCGGGAAACCTCAGCATCCAACTTTGCCTGCACGATAGCCAACTCCAACTCCAGCTCCGCAACCATTTTCGCGGTCTCGGCCACCTGCCCAAAGTTCTGTTTCAATTTCTTGACCTCCTTCTGGGCCGAGTTCCGACTCTCCAGCGCCTCATCTATGGCTCTCCTGGCCTCCTCCAGCTCGGCTGCCTGTTTCTGGGAGGAAGCCACCATAATGTCATACCCCTTCAGACCCATGCAAAACCGGAGTGCAGCCTGAGAATGCAAAAAAGAGAAAATTTCTTATATATGACAAAAACATAAACACAGTGCATTTTCCTAAAATAAGTACATAAACTTTCATTGTTTTTTACTAAAAAAAAAAAGACTTGTCAATTTTATGTAATTCTCAATGACCTCAACTACAGCCCGGAGGCCACTTTCCAGCTGCTCTCTGGGTTCAAGGCAAGCGAGCAGTTCCCGGTCGGACGGGGGAATCATCGCGTCGAGAAAGCGCTCGGCAGAAATGGATCCATTGAGGATAGAAGCGTCTGTGCCTAGCATGTCAAACTTGAGGGAAGTCGTGGACCGGTTTCGGTCGGACTTCTTGCTGCTCCACATGTTAGGATCCTGATCGGCTACCTTAGGCTGGGCTTGTTGGGTCGACGTCTCCGCCCGCTTCGCCTTGGCCGGCCCAACAGTGACGCCCGCCGCCTTCAGGGCGGCCATCCTCTCAGCTCTGGAAGCCATCTCTGCAACAAAATTCAAACAATCAGAGAAACAGTAGGCAGAAAAGCAGAGCAATTGAGTAAGCCAATCGATCGACTCACTTATATTGAGATCGGCGATTTTCCAAGGAGCGTTCGTCATCAACCTAGACGCGTCCGACTCCAGATCTAGGCTGGTCGGATAAACCTTGACCGGCCTCCTAAACCATTTGGCCCAGTCGTACCCAGATGGGAGCGAGGGGTCGGATAGCCAGACCCATTTGTCTTTCCAACGCTTGTTGGAGTCCGGATACTTCTTAAACAGGATGAAACCGGGCTTCTGGGAGATATAAACAAACCCCCCATTTTTGGCCCAGGTGAAGAGGTACCGGAAAAGAAGGACGGACGGGACCACCTTATGCTCGACGCACAAGGCCTCGAAGGCGGAAAGGAAGAGGTGACCGACCGGCGTTATCTGGCCGGGGGCCACGCCGAGATAACGGATAAACTCGAGGAAGAAGGGGGAAATTGGAGCACGGAAACCGAGCTCCAAAGAACGGATATGGATGCCGAAGTGTTTTGGAGGAGGATCGGTGATATTGGAAGACGCCTGAGGACGAGATACGGCACATCCGGTCCCGACCATTTTCGCGGCCAAATCAAAGTCATTATCGCTAAGCCGGGGGCGGAGGGAAAGGAGGGGGGCGGAGTCCAATTGAAGGAAGCCCGCAGAAGCGGAGAAGGGAGGTTCAGACATGATGGAAAAGAAGGGAGTTGGAAACGGACCTGGAAATCGGAAGGATGCGGAGCACGAAAAACTTGAAGAAACTTGAGAGAACTGAGAGCTGTGTTTTGCTGTGAGGATTTTGGAAGTCTAAACGGCAGGGATCGAAGTAGCGGGATATTTAAAGCAAATCCTGCCTAGATTTCGAATTTGTACGAGGCGCGGGTATTTCTTATCAAACCCAATTAAGTGAAGCTAAGGATGTTTTTACTTTGGACTTTAATTTGCTGGTCTGGTCTGGTCTGGTCTGATCTGGTCAGAACTGGTCTGATCTGGTCTGGTTTCCTTGTATTTTTATAACTATCCAAGTCTGGTCTGGTCTGGTCTGGTCTGGTCTGATCTGGTCTGGGAAAATTACAGTCCAAGTAAAAACATACTAAATCATCACATTCTCTGTTTAGTTTAGCACTATTTCAAAATTGAAAATGAGAAAAATTGAATAAAATTGAATCTAACTAAGGGAAGGTTTGGAGTAAAAAAGAGCATTTTTCGGTTTTTGACTTAAAAAAAGGACAAATTGAAAATAACAATCTCAAAACTTTTGCCGGTCCGTTGATAATAATCTCAACTATTTGATTATTTTTGTATAATTCCAACTATATGGACCGTTCGCCAATATGTCCATGACAAGATATTACCTTCTATAAGTCTATAACAAGTGATTTTTGAATAGAAATTAAGCATAAAAATTAAAAGTTGTGATTATTTATAGGGATAAATTGTTATATCTCTTCTCATCCACTTTCGAAACTACAACAATTTATTTATATGGACCATTATTGGCGGAAGGTCTCTAAAGTTGGGGTTATCATGAAATAATCGATAGTTGGGTTTTTAGTAAATAAATCCAACTCCAAGGACATTTATAATGACAAATCTCAAAAATCCAAAATGTCCTTTCTTCCTCGATCGCAAGGCATTATTATTGGTACTCCATATACTAGTTATATCGGCACATTCGCTGCATCGTTGCAACTGTTGAGCTCCATGACTAACTGCAAGTTTTCTTTTGTCGTCAATCGATACCCTCCTCCCTCAACCGCAAGGCAGCAGAAGAGATCGTCATCCTCCTTCCTGATTTGTTGCACCTGCTTCACGCTCTAATGCTTCCAGAATTTCGATTCAATTAAGAATCAATATTCGATCTTCATCTTCGAAAACATGAATATATACATACGAATATATACATACGGAGTAATTTGTATGAGTATCCATCAAATAGAAATAGGCTATTGCTAGGAGAGTTGCAAGCTTTAGCACCTTTTCTGTATCCCACCAAAATGTTACGGAGTATTTCACATTTAATATGGAGAAGGTTATATTGGTACTTTAACAAAAAAAATACATCAAAAATCATTTTTTTACCAAACACTCCA